TTGGCAATGTTACATTTTTTCAGTTCCATGAAATCATGATGCATCTTACCATAGATGAAAATGACCTTGATGAAATACAAACAATAGAACAAGCTCTGTGTGCCACAATCCAATTAGAAACATGGAAGTCATAACTCTGATCCATATAAATCTGTGCATTTGTGGTAACTGGATGCTGACATGGGAAATGCTTAATTTGTATAGATAGGCAATTTTATTAAAAATATTTGTCTTCCAAATGACTTTTTTCCCAGTTTTACTGAAGTACACTTGGCAAATAAATCTGTATGATTTATGGTGTACAACTTGATGTTTTTGTATGTATAAACATTCCGAAATACCATATTCAAGCCAATATCCATCTCTTTATATTGGTAAGAAGATTTAATATCAAATCTCTTCACAAACATGGAACATAAACAACACTATACTAGATCTGATTGCCAAAATAACATGCCATGGTCACAATGATCACTGAAATGTTAACCATAATCAAGCCAATATCCATCTCTTTACATTGGTAAGAAGACTCAATATCAAATCTCTTCACAAACATGGAACATAAACAACACTATACTAGGTCTAATTGCCAAAATAACATGCCATGGTCACAATAGATCACTGAAATGTTCACCCCACCCCACTGAAATTGTGTTCCCTGTTATTATTGACAATTTATGTAAAAATCAGAGAAAGAACTGATAACATACTAGCTACATTTTATTTTTATGTGATGTTGAATCAGACAATGGATGTATAACATCTGCATTAATAGTTCATTATGTAATGAACAAATATGATGAATATATAATAACATTTGTGAGTTTTATTTATTTTTATTGAATTTTTGTCATTTTCATAACATACAATTTGGTGATGTTTTGATACCTTCCCTATCCCAATATCCCCTTATTGCCCCCTATCTAATTTATGTACTCCATTATGCATATAAGGCCAAAAGAGTCTAATTCATGACTCCAAATGTCCTTCAGTATGGGTCCATCCACTGGAGCTTGGTAAACCTACAAAGAAGTACCATGCTTGAAAAAGACTGTCTCTGCCCCTCCCAGCAGCCATCTGTTGTCACAATGTCCTTAGGTGGACTTGGAGCATCTTGACCACTTCCTCATTTCTATGCTGGGATTTTTTTTTCTAGTTTTGAGCATGCATGGACCCTGTGCATGCTGTCACCATTGCTGGGAGTTCATATGAGTAACTGATGAGCTTCCTGGACAATTGTTTCCTTGAGTTCATCCACCACCTCTGACTCTTGCAATCTTTCCATCGCTTCTTCCACAATGATCCCTGAACTTTGGGAAGAGAAGTTTGATATAGGTGTCCTAGTCATGGATAATCAATCTATCTTGTTCTCTGCACATTGGCCAGTTGTAAGTTTCTGTGTTACTCACCATTTGCCACATAAGGAAACTTTTCTGGTGACTATTGAAAGATGCATTTATCTATGGGTATAACAATAAGTCATTAAAAGTCAGTTTAATATAATAACTATTTAGTAGAACACTAATATAGAGTTCTCCCAAGTGTTCTGTGACTTGTTAAACCTCAGGTTCCTAAACCTGATATCAGTAAGTATGGGCACCATCCTATAATTTTAACATCAAATACAATTAAAGAGTGGCACAAGGCCCATGCAGACTCATCAGACAAAAACCCAGCATAGAACCCTAACCTTAGGCAAAGAACTATTGACAGTTGATTAGTGCTGGGTGAGGAACAGTTGATCTTCTTTAAGGGAGTGACTCTAGATCTGCTGACTAGACTCTTGCACCAAGAGACATCTGGATACAAAAGCTTGAGTCTATAGGCTTCAACATATTTAACTGAATGCATGAAATCAGATGGGGAGGTATAGGGAGAACAGGACTGGAGAGAGGTCTAAATATGATTAAGATTTTTTTGTATGGAATGCACAAAAGTTCAATAAAAGTATACATAAAAAAGATGGACAAAAAGAGTGGTTGGTTACTCCCATATATTTGTACCAGTATTGCACCAGTATGCATATCTTGCCAGGCCAGTTGCTATTGTACTTTACAGGATTCACAGCTGAGTAAGGCTGATGATTATTTATTCCTTCTGGTAGCTAGCATAGCACCTTGATAGCTAGCCAGTAGAAATGAGCTGTTGAAGTTAGCACCCACTTGATTGTCTTACAGTTCATATGTGGAGTGTCTTCAGCAATAGGGTCTTACTATCCAGTTCTGGTAAGGAAGTACAGGTGCAAAGCAAGGCCAGTATTTTTAAGGGTCTATGGGACCCCTAGTCAATAGCTTCAAACGATGTGGTAGAATGCAGTGATAGAATGTGGGAACAGGGAACTTTAGACTAGGAATGGTTAAACAAGTTAGGGAAGGGGTGGGCAGAGCAGAGGAGTAACACTAAAGGCCATTAGAAAAGGCCATATGGAAATGTATCACTATATAAGCTTCTTAAAGTATATATGTATACATCATAAAAAGAGATTAAAAGGAGTTATCCTATAACTGGAGGACATTGCCATTTCTAGACATCATAGGCTAATAAGAAAACTCAGTGTCAGCTTGAGGGATTTAAAACCATAAAAATAAGCTTGATGGAAAAGTTTTAAAGTATGGGACCTAATAGATACCTCCTTTTACTGTTTTTGTTATTGTTGTTGCAGACGGTGTCTTAACTATATAGATGGCTAGCCTAGAACTCGCTGACTAGAGTAGGCTAGGCCAGCCTCCAATTCATGGTAATCTTCTAGCCTGTACTTCCAGGATGCTGGGATTGATTACAGCCATGATCCACTATACTCAACTGATTTTATTTTTTAATTATTTTATATTGTACCCATATTGTTAGTTGATACATATACAAAACCTTGATTTATAAGAAATAATTTGTAAAATTATACTTAGCATCCTGCACTGACTGTAAGTCCTGGTTTAAGCCAGTGGCTGTTGATTGTTGGACTCTTTTCACCTTGTTTGTCCAAATTTGTGTCTATAATGATCATACCGTCTTTTTTTCTGTTTGGCATGCCAAAGGTCATGGGTTTTTTTGATGAGGCAAAGAAATGGCTTTCTCAGTTCGTTTAGTGATGAACTGCCTGGAAATAGAGCTAAAAAGATGATGAAGCACAGAGAAATTGTTTGAATCTTGCCACGGGACCTAGAGAGCTATGAACCCATCAGTTTGTTTTTCTTTTTTTTTCTCTTTTTAAAATATTTTATTTATTATTTTTATTTTATGTGTATGTGTTTGTTGCCTGCATGTAGGTAAGTGCACCCATTTCATACAAAGCTCACACAGGACAGAAGAGGCCATCGGATTCCCTGGAACTGGAGTCATTGATAGTTGTTAGCTGCCATGTGGGTGCTGGGATTCGAACCCAGGTCTTCTGCAGGAGCAACCAGTGCTCTTAACCGTTGAGTCATCTCTCGTGCCCCAGAGTTTGTTTTTCTTATATGCACAGTATATTTTATATTGTGATGCTTAATGGATGTTTGTTTTCCAAATAACTATACACACAATAAATGTTATCCTTGAAGTATATGAACATTCTTACCTGATCATATTGTTCTATACTTTACTGAGTAGATGATATTTCAGATTGTCAGGAATTTTATTTTTTTAATTTTTGCAAATTTTATACACTATGTTTTGATCATATTTAGACCTCCTACCCCATATAATTCCCTTTCAGTACTTCCTGCTGGTTTCATACACTCTATTTTGTTAAAGCCTATCGAGTTAAATTTCAGATTGTTTTAAGGGAGGATTAATATCTCAACAGGCAGACACTCAGTTCCATTTTATTTTGTGCCTTTCTCTCTGTAAATTTTTAAATTGTTTGTGAAAGAAACAGATTTCAATAATACTGCATTGTGTAGTATATTAGGTTGTCATAAATGGCAGGGGGTATCCAGTTCATTTTATTTTGTGGAAATATCTTAATTTTCTTCCTCTTTAGAATATTTTACATTATAGACTAAGGTGAATAAGCTTCTATTCCTGCCCCAAAAGCCCTGTGACACTTTTCATAGTCTATAATCATGAAAATTTAAAATTACATGACACAAATGCCTGAAGGCTGACAAGGTGACAGAGTAAATGACCATCTTCATATTAAACTTAGGGATGTCCACTCAGAGCACTGCACAAATTGTTTATTCAAACATGGTTTTTGGAATTGAGTGGGTTTTTTTTTTTTAATATTTATGAGCACATTTAAAATATTTTATCAAAACAGCAGATTCTAAAATTAATGGCAGTTTTCATGTAGCTCCTTACTGATTTGTGTGCTCCTGAGGCTAGTGGCAATGCAGAACTTCAGGCTCCCTTCCAGACTTGGCAAATTAGATCTGTGTTTTAACAAATCCTCAGGTGGTATCTGTACCCATTAAACTTTGGAGAGTACTGGTAGCCAATTTTCTTCCCTTCTCTCTAGGATATCAAGAGATTGTAGGAGCTATGGTGCTAAACTTTCCTTGAAAGCAGACATGTTTTATAGAATTCTCAAGTGGTATAGAAGACATATATAATTACATTTTAGAAAAGAAAAACAATCTCATCTTAAAATGCTACAAAACTCTGTGGGTTCATATCTATTTATGTTCTTACAATTTTCTGAATTCTGATTCTTGAAACACAAGGAATAAAAATTATATCCACAAAATAAATTTTTCTGTCTTTGTTGCACATGGTGTTTTTAATTTCTTGACAGTCTAAGAATATTAATTTAGTTTCCCTTGTGTTTTTTAGACTTATGGAAACCATGCTGCTTTACCCTGCAGGAGTTAAAATAAAATATTAGCAATTATGCATATTTAACTTTGAAAAGGACAAGTGGTTACTCAGAACACTCATAAAAGGAAACTTATTGCAGATATTCATAAAACCTTCTTGCTAAGGGACATTTATGTCTGATGTTCTATTACTGTGAGTATTTCTTCTTATGATGATTGGAAAGAAAAATGGATTTATTATCATCACTCTTCTTTGCTCTTTCCCAGATGCAAGACAAAAGTCTATCCTGATGAACTTCCAAACACAAGTGTAGTGATTGTCTTTCATAATGAAGCTTGGAGCACTCTGCTTAGAACTGTTTACAGTGTTATAAACCGTTCCCCACACTACCTACTCTCCGAGGTCATCTTAGTGGATGATGCCAGTGAAAGAGGTACAGTATATGTTTCTAATACCTTTAATTAGAAAGTGCTCTTATGATCAAAGGGTAGCTGGGAGTGATCTGCATTCTGCTTTATAGTCAACTATCTATAAAATTTATACATATGGCATATTCTTGTGTATATTTCATATATAATATATCCTATTAATGTCAATTCCAAAAACAATTAACTAATTCTTTCAGTTTTGTTTATGACCTATTTGGCTCTTCCTAGCCTTAGAAATCAACCAAAATTATTTTCAAAAATAATTTATCTTTTCTAATTAGATCATACTGAGAATTTGAATAACTTGATACATAACACTGATGAAATCTCTATTAGTTTACTTTAAATGAAGTACGTGTGTGTGTGTGTGTGTGTGTGTGTGTGTGTGTGTGAATGAGTTGGACCATTCTTCCTTGTGGCATTTTCATAGCAGAAGTGTCTCTATTCTGTTCTAAAAACAATCCAAATCTGTCCCATAAATTCTTATTCGATATTACAGATTTTCTCAAGTTGACATTAGAGAACTACGTGAAAAATTTAGAAGTGCCGGTAAAAATTATCAGGATGGAGGAACGCTCTGGGTTAATACGTGCCCGTCTTCGAGGAGCAGCTGCTTCAAAAGGGCAGGTCATAACATTCCTGGATGCACACTGTGAGTGCACGTTAGGGTGGCTGGAGCCCTTGCTGGCAAGAATAAAGGAAGACAGGTAGGGTGTCCTGCTCTATGTCAGCAAATTCATGACTGAGACCGTGACAGCAGCTACTGCTGTCCATTACAGTTTCTCTTCCAAAGTTTATTTCACATGCCTTTTAAAAACCAAAAGTACTCGGGAGGCAGAGGCAGGCAGATCTCCGTGAGTCCAAGGCCAGCCTGGTCTACATAGTGAGTTCCAGGACAGCTGGGGCTACACAGAGACCCTGTCTCAAAAAGACAAAAAAAAAAAAGCAAAAGAGGTTTTTCTCATTATTTCTGACTAAAGACTGACTTGTTCATAAAGACTGACTTGTTCATGTTGAACAATGCTATTTAAGAAATAAATAATTCTTTCTTCAGTATTTAATTATTTTTATTTTATGTGTATGAGTGTATTGCCCTCACAAATGTGAGTGCAAGTATGTTGTGCAATGCCATGGAGATCAGAAGAGGGCTTCGGATTCCCCTGGAACTGGAGTTAAGGACAGTTCGTAGCCACCATGTGTGTGTCGGGAATCAAACCCAGGTCCTCGGCAAGAGCAGTCAGTGCTCTTAACTGCTGAGCCATCTCTCCAAAACAAATGTGTTGACTTTCTTAACAGGTGACAGAAATCATTCCAATCTGATGGAGTATAATCTGTTATAGGCAATTTACTGTCCTCACAACCATGCTGTGAGGGAGGCAATTGCATATGTTCTTACAGAGTCTCCTCATGCTGTTGGAAACAGGGGGAACAACAATTTAGTTCATCTTACTTCCTCACCATTGCTATCCCTTCTGACATTGGTGCCCTGGTTGCATTCTAGTCAGGTTCTCCTTGAGGATCTTGAACATATGCACCTATACACACACACACACACACACACACACACACACACACACATCTCACTCAAATGAAATCATGGTTAAAAAAGCAAAAAGAACACAGTTATAAGTATTTAAACAATATTCTCCCCACATACAAATTTTAAAATTGAACAGTTGACCTCTGTGTGGAGACAAAGAACTCTCACACATACCTGCAATATGTTGGTATTTTGTAGCTACTCATAAACACTTGTGATAAATTAGTGTAATTTCTTAGTACCTACTGAAGATGACTAGCAATGAATGCTCTCTGCTGTGATAAATCATTACAGAGCACCTTGTTTGCATAGTTGCCTCATGTGCAGTAGAAAAGTCCAGAACTAAAGTTTTTAATTAGACACTCAACATAAGGTCCTCTTAGACTGAGCGAGTTCAACCGCATTACATAAATGGCAGGAGCTCATACTTGGGGCGAAGATAGATGGAAGCTGTCAGCGAAATGAACAACAGCAGTACAGGAAAGCAGTGGGAACTTTTTAGTCAACTGGTAGAGTACACAGCAAATAAAATGTTGCACATTGTACTTTGTCCACAGGAGAGTAAGACAAAGTAAAAGAACTTAGAACATCTTTTTTTTTTTATCTTTTTAAAAAAATTTTTACAAAAACTTTATTGAGAATTTCACACATGCATATAAGGTGTTTTGATCAAATCCATACTCCCTCCTCTCCAACATTCCCCCCTCTGAAGAGGTAACCCTAAACTCTTTTAAGGATTAGATACAAGCTCCCAAATACTTTTGACATTTTTGGCCTTGGAACAGAGTATGTTACTAACAGGCCCAAGGACACTTTGACTTTTAGCCGAGAAACTGGCTACATTTCTTTGGGGTCTTTTTACCTTAACTGACTAGCCAATTCCTACTTCCTATTCTTATCACACCATCCTCAGAAGGGGTTACCCAAAGTGCCATTAGGAATAGGGATGCCGACCATTCTGGCTTCTTCCATGATGAACAGGGACGCAGGGTGTGGCAATTGGTGTACCCTTCTGTGGGTCTATCTAAAAGGTTCCCAAATTGCATAACTTTTGTCTCTAAGGGGAGAAGAAAGTCCTTGAATCATGAATAGGAGATGTGAATGAGAAGTAAAGGCAAGAGTAATTAGTATTACAAGTTCTAGACAGGGAACTAGAAAAAAGTCAGAACAGGGCAATTTTCAAATGTTCATATGAGAGCCCGTTGGAGTTTCTTGACAAAGGCTTCCAAAAGCAAATGCATTTAAGATGTTCTAAGTTCTTCCTCACACTTAAGGAACGTCTTAAATGCATTTTCTGGCAACTTTTTGTACATTATTCTGCTCTTTCACACATCTGTTTTATATTCATCTTGAGCTTTTAATATGTTTTACTAGAGCTGTGCACAGTTTGTTTTTATTCTAACAATGCCTTTGCATTATATGTGTATATAATGAGTCCTTTTCTTTTGTCTTGATTATATATTTTAGCATTTCCATAACTAGGTAGGAAAATCTACTCAAGATTATAAGATCTAATTTCTCCTCCCTAAAAGTTAAATTATTAAACCCAGTGAAAAAAGGAAGATAATGATTTTGTGTTCAGACTCACCAAGAAGCTTTTCCAAGACTAAATGAACTCTATTGATTTCAGAGAACTTCAGGCATTGGGCAGTTGTGTGGAATGTAAGACTCATTTGACAAAGAGTGGCAGTGATAATGTCGTAACAAAATAAGGTGCAATTGAAACCTTGCTTTTCTTTCCACTCTATGGATAATTTGGAAGCCTATTCATACAGAGGGTCTGGTCCTCAGAATTAGCTACAACTAATGTCATGTTGAACAGATTTGGTCATGGTCCTGTGGAGGTGACTGAAGGTAGGCTTCAAAGTGACTCAAAAAAGTTATGTGATGCCAAATAGGAGATAAGCCAGGACATGGATAAGAGGAAGAGCTAATGAAATCCCCACTTGAAATATTCCTTACCGTACATAAACTACTACTATGAAGAAAATGAAGGCTCTGAGTTTCCCTCTTGCATTAGGAAAATAGGATAAAATGCCACGACTAAGATGTTTATCTTACTCTGTTTTAGAAAATCACCTGGATTGAGAAAACTATAAACTCTTTTCAGTGTTTGATTTTACTTTTTATTTTATGTGTATGCATGTTTTGCCTGCATGTATGTAATTGTACCTGTGTCCTGCAGTGCCCACAGAGGGCAGAAGAAGGCACTGGATCCCCTGAACTGGAGTTGCAGATAGTTTTTAGCCACCATGTGGGTGCTGGGAGCTGAATTTAGGTCCCCTGTAAGAGCAGCCAGTGTTCTTAACCACTAAACCATCTCTCTAGCCCCCAACTATAAACTCTTATTCAAGAACACTTCATTGAAAATCCTTGACAGAAATAATTTCTTATACTGATTATGTCATGATTTTAATTGTTGCTGTTTGTTTTCCTGAAAGAAGTTTTCTCTGTGACAAGTTTTCATGAACTCTTTAAACTAACTAGCTCTATTTGAAATGCAAACCACCGAATCTAATTTTCTCTCATCCTTTCTCCCTCCCTGCATGCTATTGCTTTCCAGAGGGTTAGAGCTAAAATATTGCATAATATCAAAGTGACTCAACTAATCATGCTGTGGATGGAGGTTTATGAAAAATAGACCATGTTCATCCTTCTGAGTTAGAACTTAGAATGCATTTGGAAATCAGCTTGAAGGTCAATTAGAATATTTGATTAGATTCCACATGATAACATTAAGGTAAATGTGCAGAAAGAAGGCATTGTCAAAAGAAATGGTATTATAGAGAAAAAAGGTAAAATAAATTAAAGGCATATTTAAATCATAAGATAATTAAATGTTATCATATCACCTAGAATCATTTTGAAGAAGCTAATGTAGCATTTAAGTTACCATGTATGTATGAACTGGTTTTAATTTTTCTGCAGGAAAACGGTTGTATGCCCTATCATTGACGTCATTAGCGATGATACCTTTGAATACATGGCTGGATCAGACATGACTTATGGCGGTTTTAACTGGAAACTGAATTTCCGATGGTATCCTGTTCCCCAAAGAGAAATGGATAGGAGGAAAGGAGACAGAACATTACCTGTCAGGTATGTAGCTTGTATCTCCCATGAAGTAGTGTGTAAATTCTGATATTAACCAATATATTCTGATATTATAAATTCTAGTATCAATTTTTGAGTTTTTTAAGGATATATTTATTGTACAAATACACATTGTTGCTCTTTACATGACCATATAAGAATGGCAATACTAAATTTGGTTAAAACTAGCACAGGCAAGCTTGAACATTGGTGGAAATGCCAGGTATTTTTGGAAGCCTTTGTATTCTTATATTCAAAGCATAGATAGTGAAATTTCTACATGATACAAATTCCTTGATAGCCCAAGTAAATGCATATAATATCTAATATATTCTTTATAATAGAAGTGTTCTCAAAACTGAACTGGCCAAAAATGTTTTGGTAAATATTCTAAACCTATCACTTTTGAGGAGCTTTCTTTAACTATCATAGAATTAGTCACTTGGAAATTTCTAGTATACTCACATAAATGGATGCCTTTTGGTAGTTCCAAATTAAATAACTACTTAATTTGAAATATCTAGTAGAAAAATACATCTTATTCTTATGCTTTTATTTATCTTTTTTTAGAAACTTTAATCATTTCAGTAACACACAAAGATCTCTTTCCCAATATAAACCTCTTACCTGCAACCAAAAATTTTTTTAAATGTAGGGAAAAATATACTATCTCTTTAAAGATAAATTGAGCAAATCATCACTCTCTTGAAACAGTGGAAAAATGTCCTAACCTTCTAAAACAATGTTCACATAAGCCAGGACCCAAGCAAGAATGCCTGGCAACTTTTGGGAGAATGTTACTACTTAGTTATAGAATGAATTAATTTAAACTTTAAAAATCACTGGGTAGTGGAAGAGACACCTCTAACTATGTATTATTAGACAATTAAATATACAGTGTTGTTAGGATTTTTAGTGCTTAATACTACCTCAAAGAGAAAATTTAAATGTTGTGCTTAACATTTGCATAAGACATGCTATCATTCAATGCTTAAATATATAATCCAGCAAATTTTAAATGTTTTATAATCTTCACATCTACCCATTCTTGTTGATCCTTGCCTTTAACTACCCAACAAAATACAATAACTTCTAGATTTATTACAAATCCTCTTGTCCCAGATCTTAGCTTTATTTGATGTAGATGATTCTTAAGCTCAAGCTCTAAGTGAAAACTAGCAAAACGCTTTGCAAATGCAGTTAGATTTGGTAACAAATTTATTCATTCGAAAATGAAGTTTATATGAATGTGTGTTTGTACTCATTAAAAATACATTAACAAAAGGCATGCTTTTTAACTTTGTTTTCCCAGATTAAAAATGTAGATAATTAAAATAGCCACCACACATAGTAAGAACTGACTGATCTCATTCATAAAAATAAACAGGAAATTAGGAAGTAAAAGTTTTTACATAACTTTCACTAACTAAAACAAAAGTTGAGTCGTCTAACTTGCTATATTTTAGCCAGTTTGTGTGGTTTCATTGAACTACTACAGGAAATTATTATTTGCCTCAGTAACTGAACATCATTTCATATTTTAAAATACTTAAAGAGCTGGAGCAAAATGAAAGAAGCTTCAGTGACTGCTGGAGTTTCTAGATTCTTATGGCAAAAGGTTAATTAATTCACTGGCTCTGTTGTCACAGCCTGCAGGTAATTTTCATCAGCATGGCTGCAATGTGAACTTTGTACTTATAATCTATTACTTGAAGATGTGATCATTTTTCTTGCATTCGTACAAACAGATAAATCATTCTAGGTGTCGAATACAGATTTTTTTTTCCACTTGATTAACAGAACTCTGAATAGCTAAAGTGATTAAAATGAGGTTGAGATTTTAGCTTTCTTAGTGGAATGCTTCATTTAAAATGTCACTTGCAGTAGAACTTTGGAGTCTTCATAATTGGCTAGTCATCATTCAGAAATATAAGCAACCATAGAGCACCAGCTTAAACTTGTGACCCAAACTCAATCAAACTACCTTATGTAAAAGTAAATTGCGAAATGGTGATAACATTCAGTTATGCAGTTCTGGGTGTGTATGAAAGAGAGTTTTGAACTTAAGGCTATGGAATAGCATTATTCTAATTCAAATATGTAGTTTTCTTTAATCAGCAAGTTCCTTGACATCATAGGACATCCCAGCTGCCTGTGCAGCAGTAGAGGAACCAGAGCATTAAACCAAAGAGCATAAAGCAGGAACTTCTGTGTCAAATGTACTGTTTGTGTTTTATTTGTATTAATAGTATTTCATCTAGAAAATTAATGACATTAAAAATATGATTGTTGAAATAAAATTTGAGACTTTTAGCTATTAAGAATTCAAATAATATTGGTAAAATGACCCAGGGTTCATCCCTATCAGCATTCGAGGGAGAGGAATAGAAACTGCCCATGTGGAAGAGCCAGGAGAGACAAGCCTTGTCTCTTTAGCTTCTGTAATTGTGTTTCTGACTCTAAGCTTGAGGGTCAGTGGCCATTGATAATCTTTTTACATATGGAGAAATAGTTTCAGTATTTGCCTCAAGTAAAGGTGAGAGAAATATATTTATTACAATGAACTGACATCGCATAATTGACTATGATTATATTCTTTTAAATTTGTGACTTTCAACCTAGAGGCTAATATCTGGGGGATGACCAAGTTTGAAACTCATCAAGCACATTAGTCTGTATAAATATGTGTATATATTACCTAATGAAACAGACCAAGTAACAAAATTACTTCATAAGGAAGATAACGCTATCAAGGATTATCTTAGTTTCATTTTGTCACTGTGTTAAAATACACTGACAAATAGCAACTTAGCAGGGAAAGGTTTTGTTTCAGCTCACAGTTTCAGATGACAATCCATCATAGCAGGGAATTCAAGGTGGTGCAACTTCAAACAATATACACATCACATCCACAGTGAAGAGCAGAGAGAAATGAATGCATGCATGATTCTCATCTAATTCTCTGCTACTATACAGACCAGGGCCACAAAACTGCTGTACCACCCACTTTTAGGCTTGAGTCTTTCCACATCAATTAAGATAAACAAGATGGGCTGGAGAGGTGGCTCAGCAGTTAAGAACACTTCCTGATCTTGCAAAGGACCTGAGTTCTGTTCCCGGCATGCACAGGGCAGCTGACAACCTTCTGTATATCCAGTTCAAATGGATCTGACGCCCTCTTCTGGTCTCCCTGGGTATGCACACACAGGTGGACTTAACATGCAGACAAAATACTCATATACATACAGTAAAAAATAATCAAAAGAAAATAAATGAGAAAAAAGACAGTCCCCCACTGACATGCATACGGACCATTCCATTCTCCACAAACCCTCTTTTAGACTCTATTCCCAGTCCATCCTAGGCTCTGTCAAGGTGACAACACTAGCCAGCATGGAGATGCATTATGCAATTTTTCCAGAATAAAAAGATTGAGGCTATTTGGTTTAGCTATTGAGATGAGTTTGATTCAGCATTCAAATGGGCATTTATGCACCCTGATGGCCACTCCGCTGGCTTCTGCACATACAAAATGAATATAGCAGTCATTGCTGTTGACTGCCTGGCATTGACCTCATGCATGCTAGGTGAAGTAAGAATAAGGTCAGAATATGCAGCTTGAATGAAGATTCACGAGAGTTATCCATGTTTCTACTGGACTACTATTTACTTCTGGATAAGAGTCTGGGTTAAATATTACTGATTGCATTAGTCTTTTAATAATGCTCTGTAAGTGACCCTCAATAAATAGATATAAAGATACTCATGTCCAGTTTAATTTCTCGCTGATTAAAACTTATTTCTTTGTTAGAGACCTGCTGATTATTTTTTAAGTCTAACATTTTACTCTCTACGTTTACTTACACTTAGTTGTTCTTTATATTCTTAATGTGAATATTTTCATATTTTTACCTGTTAAGTATATTCTGAAAGTAAAGCAGCTTTTGACATTCATCAGTCTTAGCTATCATAATGAATCGCACACCTAGACATAATTATTAGCTTTTATTCATGACAAATTTACTTATTTTATATCTATTTTAACTAATATTTGTCTGAGTGCATACGTTACATTACATTTAATTGCAATTAAAAATGTCTAAAGAATATCAAATAAATTTAATCACAAAATGAATAATGTCTTGGATTGTAACTGCTGTGCCCTCATATGTTAAGCATATTCTCACATGCTCCATCTCTTATCCTAGTATGGGTGGGAGAAGCAACACTGGGCTAGCTTTGGGAGGAATCTGGTTTATTTCAAGATAATCCTATTGGGAAATGGCCTAATTTTTTAACCCAAAAGTTGAAAATTATTTACTCTGCCTTGTATAACTTATGTAAGACATCAAAGTGATACAAATTATTAAATGAGAAATACCTTGTCAGGAGTCAGAAGTTGAATTTTAAGTTCCTTCTTGTTAAAGGAACATGTATGCATGGCACAGTAAATGGGATAAGCACCCCAAAGCACCGGGAAGCATAAGACCCACAGGCACCACCACCTTCAGTGTTTTGTAATACTTCCTTCTAGAGGATTTCTTCAAATGAAATTCTCCATAATTTAAAATCTGTTGTGCTATTTTATTAGCATTTACGCCATTAAAATTTTTTTTTTTAAGAAATATTTACTGGCTGTGAGTTTCTCAACTATTTAGCTTTTTCTTTAGGTTTTGTGCCAAAACTTGATTAAAATTTTTTGTTTGTTTATTGTTTTGTTTTGGTTTTGGTAGCAGACCTCATTTATCTTTGTTTGGTCAGAAACTGAATGTGTATTTCTGACCCCCCCACCTCTGCTTCCCCAGTCCTGGGATTCCAAGCAGAGTGTGCTACTACAGCTGGTTTTTATAAGGTGCTGGGGATTGAACTCAGGGCTTTGAGCATGCTAAGCTATCACTGTGCTAATTGAGCTGTATTCCCAGGCCTAAAATATACTAAAATATAATTTTATTTAAATTTTTATTTTCATTTATTCCTTTTACTTTTCCAGTGCTCAGGATAGAATC